AATCTAATGATGAATTTTCATGAAATTGCATTAGGGCATACAACATTTATTTTTCATAATGCTGTACCACTTCAGAGCCATTGAGATAATTTCAAGTGGCAGGTCAAATGACGATGCTTCTCTTGAAAAAGAAAAATGCACCACACACTGAATTGTTGCAGATCAAAGGGCAGATTGGGGCTATAGTTTAACCCCCTCCCCCCAAAAAACCTAGATTTCCAAGTGCCGGGAGATTATTTATCTTTACCTATATACCGCAAGAAGATCAAACCAGTCCATACTCCAGAAAATCAAGCCTGACTGCTCACTGGAGGGAAGGATATTAGAGGCAAAGATGAAGTACTTTGGCCACATAATGAGAAGACAAGAAAGCTTGGAGAAGATAATGATGCTGGAGAAAATGGAAGGGAAAAGGAAGAGGGGCCAACCAAGGGCAAGATGGATGGATGGTATCCTTGAAGTGACTGGCTTGACCTTGAAGGGGCTGGGGGTGGCTACAGCTGACAGGGAACTCTGGTGTAGGCTGGTCCATGAGGTCACAAAGAGTCTGAAGCGACTGAATGAATAAACAACAAAAATATACAGACACAAACTCATGGGCATCTCAAACGGTACCAATTATACACAAGATAAAATTATCAGTGAATGATCTTAAACTTTGCATAAGTTTTAAAAATAGGGGCAAAGTATGTGCATGTATCTTTGTATGTGTGAGAGATGACAATCTGTATTACGGTTTGTATTGTATGTACAGTACATCTCAAACTATTCCAACTGTATACAAGATAAGCATATCAGTGGGCAATCCTAAATTGTGGAGATATATATATATATTTAAAAGGATTAAAACTGTGTGTGTGTGTGTGTGTGTGTGTGTGTGTGTGAGAGAGAGAGAGAGAGAGAGAGAGAAAGAGAATTAGAAGAAGTCCATTAGGGGCTGCTCATGGTCATTGGCTACTGAATGGTGATGGTTATTACAGGCTGTTTACTAAATTTAATTTAATGCAATTGATATCCCACTTTTCACCTTGTACAGGACCCTAGGTGGCTTATATCCAATAAAGGTACAGCTAAAAAACCAAAGTCCTCCATTCTACATCATCTGCTTAATTACACATATGTAACATAGTAATGTTGCGTGGTCTGATCTCTCCCAAGCCTTCTTCAGTGATGGAGGCCTGACCCACCAAGGATTGGTGCAGACAGATGACACTTCCACACTTTCGTGCTGGCAAGTGTGAATGTGACAAGGAATTGAGACAGATAGCTGCAGTCTCCCTTGATGGCAGTAGCAGAGTGGAGTCATCACCCACTTTCATCCTGACTGTCCACAGAACAAACTTCCTTTCCCTGATGTCTGGTAAAGTAGGTTGGGGGGGAGGGGAGGGCATTTATAGCTGTGGCAATAATGCCATGATCATGATTCTATAGAATTAGTGAACATGGAGAAGTTGTGGATGCATAACTCTATGTTATTTACTCATAATTCCTAGACGACACAGCCGGACTAGATCCCTTCCAATCCGGCTTCCGTGCGGGGCACGGGACAGAGACTGTGCTGGTCTCCATCACGGATCACCTTCGATGCCAGCTTGACCAGGGCGGGTCAGCGCTGCTTGTGCTATTGGATCTCACAGCAGCATTTGACACAGTCGACCACAATCTCTTGACCCACCGCCTTGCTGTTGCTGGAATCAGGGGGACAGCTTTAAACTGGCTGTCCTCCTTTCTTCACAACCGTGGACAGCGAGTGGAGAGAGAAGGCCTGGTCTCTGAGAGGTCCCCTCTATCTTGTGGGGTTCCTCAGGGGGCCATTCTCTCCCCTCTGTTGTTTAACATCTATATGCGACCACTTGCTCAGCTGGTTCGAGGTTTTGGGCTTGAGTGTTATCAGTACGCATGACACTCAGCTGGTGCTGAAGATGGAAGGCCGACCGGACTCTGTACCCGATTGTTTCCATCAGTGCCTCGAGGCCGTTACTGGATGGCTGCGTGCCAGCAGGTTGAGGGTGAATCCAGCAAAGACGGAGATCCTATGGCTGGGTGGACCGGGCAGTGGGGACATCCATCTGCCCACCCTGGATGGCGAGGCGCTACGCCCGTCATCATTGGTAAAGAGTCTGGGAGTCCTTTTGGACCCTCTGCTGACAATGGAGGCCCAGGTCTCCGCCGTGAGCAGAACCGCCTTCTTTCATCTGCGGCAGGCTAGACGGCTGGCCCCCTACCTGTCCAGGGACGACCTAGCTACGGTGATCCAGGCCACGGTCATCTCAAGACTGGACTACTGTAACGCCCTCTACATTGGCCTTCCTCTGTCGGTGATCCGGAAGCTCAAGTTGGTACAAAACGCAGCCGCTCGGCTTCTTGCGGGAATTCTGATGAGATGCCACATCACCAATCTTACTACAGCTGCATTGGTTACCAATTGAGCACCGGATCACTTTCAAAGTGATGGTACTCACCTTTAAGGCCTTGCATGGTCTGGGGCCAATGTATCTGAGGGATCGTCTCACCCCCTACCAACCCCAGAGATCCCTCCGTTCTGAGGACCAAGATCTATTGGAAGTCCCCAGTGTCAAGACCTTGTGTCTAACGGCAACCAGACGCAGAGCCTTCACAGCAGTGGCGCCATCAGTCTGGAATGCTCTGCCACCTGAAGTTCGTGCCCTGCGGGACTTACCAGCTTTCCGCAGGGCATGTAAGACATACCTGTTCCGACAGGCTTTTAATGTTTGATACTGTTGTTTTTAAATTGTTTTAAATTGCTTTTAAATTTTGTTAGATTTTAGCCATTCTTGTAAGCCGCTCCGAGCCCCAGGGGAGTGGCGGCATATAAGTTTAAATAATAAATAAATAAATAAATAACTGCAATGCAGGGTGCCAAATAAAAACATTTTTAAAGACTATTAAACAACTAAATCTGTTTCTTAAAAAGCAAAGTTGGAGTAGTTTAAAACATATTTAAAATATAATAAAAAAGGATGGAAAGCACAACCCCATACAAGCCCCTTCTCCCACAAAATATACCTATTATTAAAGGAACAAAAATCTTTGAGAAATGGAAAAGAGAGATTACTAATTTTATTTGGGCTGGGAAAAGAGCGAGGATAGCATACCGAAATTTAATTGATGATAAAGGAAGAGGGGGGCTAAGCTTACCCGATTTAAGGACCTATTATGAGGCTGCAGCAATGTCCTGGCTGAAAGAATGGATAAAATTAGAAAACAAGACCCTACTAGATTTGGAAGGATTTGGATTACGATTCGGCTGGCACGCATACGTGTGGTATAATGGAGATAAATTAAATAAAGATTTTAATAAACATATAATTAGAGGGGGACTATTGGATATTTGGAAAAAATACAGAAAAGGTATGGAACCAAAACCCCCCCTTTGGCTGAGGCCACTAGAAGCAGTCACAAGACCAGCCTTAAGGGTAGAAACAAGAACATATAAAGAATACTTTATTAGAGAAAATGAAGAGTGGAAATTAAAAGGGCGGGAAGAATTGGAGATTAATGATTGGTTTCGATATCACCAACTGCATGAAAGATACAAAAAAGACTTGAGGATTGGATTTGCAACCAAAGAATCAGAATTGGAAAGAATATGGAAAAAGGGGGATAAAGGGTTAATCTCTAGATTATACAAATACATACTAAGTTATAATATGGAGGATAACAGAGTCAAGACAGTAATGATATCCTGGGCCAAGGACCTAGGCAGACCAATAGAATTGGACAAATGGGAATACCTATGGAACAAAGAATTCAAATTTACTTTATCGGGTTCAATCAGGGAGAATCAAAATGTTTTACAGATGTTATATCACTCCAGCTACATTGGCTAAAATAGACAAATCACAAAAAGAATATGGAAAAAGGGGGATAAAGGGTTAATCTCTAGATTATACAAATACATACTAAGCTATAACATGGAGGACAACAAAGACAGTAATCATATCCTGGGCCAAGGACCTAGGCAGACCAATAGAATTGGACAAATGGGAATACCTATGGAACAAAGAATTTAAATTTACTTTATCGGGTTCAATCAGGGAGAATCAATACAAAATGTTTTACAGATGTTATATCACTCCAGCTACATTGGCTAAAATAGACAAATCACAACAAGGTATTTGCTGGAGGTGCAGGAAACAGAAAGGGACATTTCTCCACATGTGGTGGACCTGTGTGATCATACAGGAATTTTGGGATAAGGTAATTAAGGAGACAAATAAAATGTTACATAACAAGATTAAAAAAAGCCCAGGACTGTGTCTGCTAGGTCTACAGAGAAAAAACAATAATCAAAAGGACCAAAAAATGCATCAATATAGCTTTGCAGCGGCAAGATTGACCATAGCCAAAGATTGGAAAGGGGAAAAAGGTCTAACCAAAAAGGATTGGAGGGAAAGAATGTGAGAATATATGCTAATGGCCAGACTAACTTATAACAGGAGGAATAAGAGTAATGAGGACTTTCTAGAAAAATGGAAGTTGGCCATGGCATATCTGAATAGAGAGTCAGTAATATAGAGGAGCTCCATTAGGAATTTAGGTTTACCATGAATAAGGATAGATAAATAGGCTTAAAGGCTTCATAGTGTTTCGGTGCGGGAAGTCATGGTGAAGGGTGCACGGGTGTGGGGATGAGGGTTTATTTTGTTCAGGATAGGGGTTTTGGGTTGAGTGTAAGGTCTGGGGTATGTGTGTAAAATGCCATGTGCTGATTTCCTGAATGTTATGAAAAAAAATTAATACTAAGCTCTGACTGAAAGCAGTGGAAAACAGCCAGAAATAGCAAGTTTATGTGTATTAAGATATGTAAATGATAATAATTTGTACTTAATGTCAAAATTAACTGATTGGTTGAATAAGGTAGATAGGCATGTACATGTCAAAGATATCGGTACCTGATTATATCTGATTTGCCATAGTTTGCTTTTCTGTTATGTACCATAATCAAAATAAACAGTTTTAACAAAAAAAAAACTGAGTCCTAAACAACACCATATATCTTTGAAGCAGCTTCTGGACAGAATTAAGAAGACCAAGGACGCTAACAATGAATTGTCACGGTGGGGACTTCACTTGGACAATGACATTTGTAAGGGAAATTGCCGTGTTCTCCCCATGGAAAGAATCAACCTAAAGAAGACCACTTTCAATACCACAGAGGACCTAAACTGGTCCAAAGAGGTCACAAGGGAAGCCTGCATCTCTGGAATTCCACTCCGTTACTGGATGCTGTTTTATCCAAAGCGGACAAGGGAGCAAGCTTCTGAATTGGTGACAACGCTGCAGAAGATCTCAGGCCCTCTTGACATTGTGTTAAACCCACCTATTTGGTCAGAACTGAAGGATGACAGGATAGAGACCTATGTCAGGGCCATCAAATCATTACTCACTAGTGAGAGCACCATTCAGCTGGTAGTCTGCATTATCACTGGGACCAGAGATGACTTATATGGAGCTATTAAAAAACTGTGCTGCATACAGTCTCCAGTCCCTTCTCAGGTTATTAATGCACGAACCATTACCACTCACCCCACAAACTTAGAAGCATCGCACAAAAAATTCTGCTGCAGATTAACTGCAAGTTAGGTGGAGAACTCTGGAGCGTTGATATTCCTCTGAAACAGTTGATGATGATTGGGATAGATGTGTATCATGACCCTGGCAGAGGAAGGCGGTCAGTTGTTGGTTTCGTTGCAAGCACCAACCACACTTTTACCCAGTGGTACTCCAAGGTTGTATTCCAGATGCCTCATCAAGAAATTATCGATAGCCTAAAAGTCTGCCTAGTGGGTGCCTTGCAGAAGTTCTACAAGGTCAACCACTTCCTCCCTGAGAAGATCGTGTTTTACAGAGACGGAGTGTCGGATGGCCAAATAACAATGGTAGAGAGCTATGAGGTCCCACAGCTGCAGAAGTGCTTTGAACGTTTTCACAATTACAATTCTAAAATGGTCATGTTTGTAGTCCAGAAGAAAATCAGCGTCAACATCTATTCGGCAGCCACGGATAACTTCACAACTCCTTGTCCTGGCACCGTGATAGACCATGCAGTCACCAGCCGAGACTGGGTGGATTTTTACTTGATGGTTCATGCGCCACGACAAGGCTGTGGCATCCCTACTCACTACATCTGCATACTAAATGCGGCTAATCTTAGTCCCGATCACTTGCAGAGGTTGACTTTCAAGCTTTGCCATATGTACTTGAACTGGCCAGGGACTATTCGAGTGTCAGCTCCTTGCAAATATGCTCACAAGTTGGCCTTTCTCTCAGGACAAGTTCTACACCACGAACCAGCCATCGAGCTCTGCGAAAAGCTCTTCTTCTTATAGTTTTGGCAGCTGACACAACTTTGAGGCAGCAGTGAATGCAGAGGTAACTCTTTGGTGGAGAACACAAGCCAGCCTCGAATCAATACCACAAACAAAGGCCGTTATGATCCTCAGCATGAACAGCCAAGCTATTTCACTACTGAACATTTTTTGTTAAATAGCAAACTTAACAGTGAATTGCTGGCAATTTTTTTGGTTTTTGTGAAATATGAAAATTCCATCAAAAATGCATGCATTGCCATGATGAAATGTGATATCTGAAGGAAAAGGCAGAGTTGGCACCAGTTTTAACTGTGCTAATGCTGGCCACTGTGGAAAAATGTGCATCTAGGTTCCAATCTGAGTCCAGGAGTATGCCTGGCCTATGAACCAGGTCTCATTCATATTGTAGCCCCTTTCATATTGATATGGATAAACAGGAAAAAGAAAAAGGTATAGAATGCTATGAAAGAAAAGATGATTTGGTGAAATCTCAGAAAACATTGCAGTTGCAAATCCCATTTCTGTGAAATGATATTGAAAACACATTCTGGATTTTGATCTTTACGGAACCAAAGCAGGAATATTTGTTAATAAGAGGGAAGTGTCAGCAAACATTTGGGAACCTCATCTCTTCAGACATATGAAAAGACCTTTGGGGGAAAGACCCTAATGGGCAGGAAGGGAAAACAGCTCAATGAGAATTCAGTATTTTTTTGAACTCAGGTAAAGTATGCTAACTAAATGCCAAGGGGTCACAGAGGGTTGTTGGAATAAAGTAGCATGATGGACTGCACTAGTAGTGGTGATTCCCATGCAGTGGGGTAGTAATTGAGACTTTAAGGAGACAGTCATTCCACTGAACTTATTTTGGTAAAAGCTTTTTGACAGTGGAATATGCTGCCTGGGAGTATGGTGGAGCTTCCTTCTCTGGAGGCTTTTAAACAGAGGCTGGATGGCCATCTGCCAGGAGTGCTAGGATTGTATGTTCCTGCATGGTACAATGGGGTTGGCGTAAATGACTCTTGCGGTTTCTTCTAACTCAATGATTCTGTGAGTCCATGTACTTTTCAGCACCTGGGATAGCTCCATCAGCACCTTGGATATGGCTGACTTGTTCACAGCCTGAACATGCAACACAGTCATATTTTGTGCCTTTTCTTTAACTGAATGGATCTAAGGTTTTCTGTAATTGTGAATAATTCATTGAACAATTCTTTATTTAGGTTGGACTTTTTTTAAAAAAAACTCCTTGCTCTGGAGTTTTTTTTAAAAAAGTCCAACCTAAATAAAGGGACCACAACCAATTGTTGAGCTTGGCAAACAAATCCTGCTCACCTATTAACTTGGCAATTCCATACACACAGGGAAATCCAGCCTTTTACATCTCAGAGCTCACCAACCCCTCTTACAGAAGAGCCTACATGCTGGCTAGATTTAACATCATGCCATCGCCGCTCCATAGAGGAAGACTCAATGGCCTCCCGAGCAACAAGAGGGTCTGCCTCTGCAGCACAGGACAGCTAGACTCCATACCGCATATTCTCCTGCACTGTCCACTCTACCAGGAGCTAAGATCCAGCCTGCTAACACAAGCCATAGATTCACTGAAGAACCGCAGCGATTCTGACAAAGTGATTTTGCTTTTAAATTGCCAGGACTTTAGCTGCTGCCTTTCAGTGGCAAGATTCCTGAATGAAGTCTGCAAACTGAATGTGTAGCAAACGAGAAGCCCTTTTTTATTACGTGTACTATGTTTTATACTCTCTGCCATGTTATGCCAATAAAGGCTTATTGTATTGTTTGTATTGTTTGATAAAAAAAAAACTTCTGGAACAACAGATTCAGCTTGCAGCTACCACATTAAACAAATTCAGCCAATAGAAATGGAAGGGATATTTAATGTCTTATTTTTTCATTACTTTGATATTTTGATAGTCCCTGCTATTTTTCAGGAGTTTAATTCCATCTTTTAAACATTTTTTAAAAGAACAGTGACATTTTGGGCTATAAGGAAAAGAGATATTTGTTTGTTTGTTTGTCTGATTTATATCCCTCCTTTCTTCCAGAATGGGACCCAAGGCAGCCCAAAATGTAAGTTATATTGTGGGCTGCCTTGGCACCCATTCTGGAAGAAAGGTAGTATATAAATTAAACAAACAAATTGCCACGGCTATCATCTTATGTTTTCTTTCCCTTTTTCTTTTTGGAGATTCTGTTAATTATAGCAGGCACGAGTAAACAGAGATGCAAAGACTATTCAAAAAACATTTTTCTTGAGTGCTGGGAAATCCTAATGAGGAGAAACTTGAACAGATGAGAATCTTTGAAGTTATCAATTTATTTTGGGCAAAATTTGCATTTAATATTTTTGCACAGAAAACACATAAAATAATGCCCTTGCACAGAAATATCATTTAATGTGCAAAAACATGTTGTTTCTTGAGCATGATGCTGTTCTTCTGTGCAACAATACCATATGTGAATTTTGTACAAATTAAAAAAAATCCTTAATTGGGGAAACTTTGAAAATGTCACAGTTTCTGGAGACATTCTTACAGGAATGAAATGAGAGAAGAATGGCATATCTACAAGTAGAGTATCTGTCCTTCTACCTTTGTTCTAACTGTTATGTGGCTAGCAACCAGATAGCCACTTCTTTTTCACAAAAAAATCTTGAAAGATAAGTTGCTGCAGTGACGACTTCAGCCTTACAGATTTCCATGATCATTTGTAAAGAATCACCACTCATAGGAGCCCCCGGTGGCACATTGGGTTAAACCCCTGTCCCAGCAGGACTGAAGACCGACAGGTTGCAGGTTCGAATCCAGGAAGAGGCGGATGAGCTCCCTCTATCAGCTCCAGCTCCTTATGTGGGGACATGAGAGAAGCCTCCCACAAGTATGATAAAAACATCAAATCATCCAGGCGTCCCCTGGGCAACGTCCTTGCAGACGGCCAATTCTCTCACACCAGGAGCAACTTGCAGTCACTACTAACACGACAAAAAAACCCCACAAAACAACAAAAAACCACTCATAGGAGTGGTAAATTGAAAATGATTGATTTGCTGGGGGTCTAATGTTATTTCCCCTCCACTACATCAGCCACTGCTACATAATTTCTTCTCTGTCCTTTGTTTCTGCACTGAAAATAATATTTCTGCATATTTAAATACTGTTATGTGCTAAAAATGCTGCCTTTCGTCAAAAATAACCACATGCATGTTTTGTGCAGAATAAATCCTGAATTGCAATTAGGCTTCAGAGACATGGCTTTCAAAGACTTTCTCACAGTGGGAGGAAAATTGATAAAATTACTATTTATTTATTTATTTATTTCTGCTGCTTATACCCCGCCCTTCTCACCCCCGAGGGGGGACTCAGGGCGGCTTACAAAAAGAAGGCACAATTCGATGCCCTTATCCAAATACATACAAATATAAAAACAATTACAATAGTTAATTAACAGATTAAAAACATCAATATATAGCACCAAAGCATAGCAATAAACAGTCTCATGGTCAGTGTTTCGGGTTCCATAGGTCCAATAGGTTTCTTCATTATTTGCCCATCATTATGGTCTTTCTTTTTAGCTGCCAGAGTTTCCAAAAGCCTGGTCCCACATCCAAGTTTTCAGCTTTTTCCTGAATGAGAGAAGGGAAGTCGCTGATCTGATCTCCCCGGGGAGTGAGTTCCACAGGTGGGGGGCCACCACTGAGAAGGCCCTGCTCCTCGTCCCCGCCAGTCTCACTTGTGATAAAGGCGGGGTCGAGAGCAGGGCCTCCCCAGAAGATCTTAGACTCCGAGGTGGGATGTAGAGGGAGATCCGTTCGGACAGATACACTGGGCCGGAACCGTATAGGGTTTTGTAGGTCAAAACCAGCACCTTGAATTGTGCTCGGAATTGGATCGGCAGCCAGTGGAGCTGGCACAACAGGGGGGTGGTATGCTCTCTGTATGTCGCTCCGGTGAGCAATCTGGCTGCCTCCCGTTGGACTAGTTGAAGTTTCCGAGCAGTCTTCAAAGGCAACCCCACGTAGAGTGCGTTGCAGTAATCCAACCGGGATGTGTACTAGTTGTTTTCTTCAAGAAGAAAGTTAGTAAAGAATTGTATCCCCAATGTAGTGCTTCCAATATACACTTCTGTGAGTGTAAGTTATACTGTGTTTCATTGTTCCTTCACTGAATGAAGGATCTCAACTCTCAGGTGGTCTTCTTAATAGCCAGTTGGTAATCGGAGACTTTCCTGAAATCAGCAACTAGACTGAACCATATAAGCCCTATCAGAAGTAACTGACATCTTAAAGAAGGTCCTTCTAATTAACTAGATCAATTAGTGGTTTGTGATCATGTGTTAGCATAAAATAATTCAGACTTTCCTTTTAAGTCTGTGCATATTGCCTCTCTTCTCCTGTACAAACTGTGCAAAATAGAGTTGGTTTCAATGCCTCTTCACTTTGCTGTAGCACAATGCTGTCCCTTCTCTAGCTGCCAGCATTTGCACTCACCATTGCCTGTTGCTCATAAAATTTCAATACAAGAGAGACTGAGATCCTCCCTCCCACACTCTGAAAAGCAGTTTCCCAGTCAGCCTCCTCCTGGAGGCAGACTGCATCTTTCTTCAGGAGCTCATTAAAAAACTTTAAAAATTGTAGATGTATCTGGAAGGTGTAAGGGCCCAAGGAGTTTACCATCCCTGCTACATGCCTAAGGATGTCTGTAACATTATTGGGTGCTTCCAGTTTTCTAACAGTTTCTGGTATGCTTAAGCTGTACTTATTTCACCTTTACTTATATCTTTTTGTCAAAATTCAGAAGGGTGAAGGGAAAACTCCATTAAAGCTCATCTGGCTGGAGCTTTAACCTGCTAAGTATGTGGTTGTTTTGTTGTTGTTGTTGTTGTGTGCCTTCACAACAACAGATTAACAACACCCATAAGGCAAATCTATCCAAAGGTTGTATTAGCAAGATTTGTTCAGAGATTTGACTTTGATGAGAGTCTGTGGCTGGCCCAAAATCACCCCTATGGTGGGTTTCCATTGCTCAGTGCATTTCTTAACATATATTAGTAGCTTAGTCATTTTCCTTTGCAAGATTGCAGGAACTGAACAGATCTGGAAAGTAATCTTCCACGTAGTGTTACAAATACAGTCAATGTCACACTTGGATTTGTGAGAGGAGTTTGTTGGAATCCGCAAAATGCATCACATTTAGA